CGGGTCATGATAGTAATTGTGAGTTATTTTTTTTGGTGGAGGACCCCAACCGTCACTGAAAAATTGTATAAGTTTTTAAAAAAAATAATGTTAAAAAACAAACAATATAGAAACAAATACCTCATGATAAAATAATTGCTTCTAATAAAAACAAATAAACGATTTGCTCATTATAAAATAACAAAAAAAAATGATTAAACTAAATAAAGACTCATTGATGAAATATGCATCACAATTCAAATAAAGTAATATTTAAGTAAAATTATTGTTTAAAATTTTAAATGATTTAACTAATAAGAAACTTATTGACAAGTATAAAACAATCATCATTATCAATTCAATTCAAATAAATATTGTTAATTGTTCAAAATTTTACGTATCAATTTTATTTTATTGTATATATAAAATAATATAAAATAATACATTAAATCTTTAGACTAAATTTATCGTTAAACGATTTCGATATTACATTCACGTAAATCGAATTGATAACCATTCTTAAATCTGATGTTTGCTAATTTAGCTGGATAAAGTAATTCAAGTAAATATTTTTTACTGATTTCTTCAATAATATTGTTTTCTTTATCAAGAATAAATTTATGTTGCTTCAAAAATTCTCGACGTTTTCTATCAAAAAGTGCATTTTGTTTACTGCTCAACTTGATTTGAGTATATTCGGTTATGTGTCCATCATCGTCAGGATACATGATTGGTCTTCGAAAGTTTGTATTTTCATTTTCTCTAAACCATGTGAGATCTGCTTTCTTAATTGTACAAACTTCTGTAATAACTATGTTTGTATTTTGTATTTCTAAAGATTGAAACATTATTAAATAATACTTAAATAAAATTCTAATCGGTTTATAAAACTGATTAGATTTGTTTTTTTAATTTTTTTTGGCGTGCTGCTAGCAGTGTTTAAAATTCGATTTTGTTTCAATATGCGGAATAGTTTAATAATTTTTGTAAACATAATAAAAATTCAAAAAATAGATGTGTGACGTATATGACACATAATAAAATCCGCAGATTCAAAGAAAATTTCACTTGCGGAATTAATTTTCAATCTGTGCACCGCAGATTCCGCATATAGATTTTAAACACTGGCTGCTAGCCTCGCAATTGCTTATAGTCGGTTGTGATTAATAGTCTATTTTAATTAATAGTTTATTTTTAGTTAATATTATTCTGATTCGAATTTTTGACTG